AAAGAATGGCTGCTATCAAGAAGTCAACCAATAACAAATGCTGGTGGGGGTGTGTGGAGAAAGGAACCCTTCTCCATTGTTGGTGGGAGTGCAGACTGGTGCAACCAGTGTGGAAATCCGTATGGAGATACGTCAAAGAACTAGGACCAGAGGTCCCATATGACCCAGCTATTCCCTGCTGGTTATCTTCCCCAAAGAATTAAAAGAATCATGCCACAGTGATATATGTGCACCCATGCTTATAGCAGCGCAGTTTGTAATAGCTAAAGCTTGGAAACAGCCCAAGTGTCCATCAACTGGAAACTGGATAAAGATGTGGTTTTTTTTAATAAAATGGAGTACTACTCAGCCATAAACAACGAGAAACTAGAGACATTTATAGCTAAATGGATGCATATTGAGGCCATACTCTTAAGTGTAATAAATAGGACACACATGTGTAAATACTGAATAGTTTCTCTAGTGTGAGAAATTGAAAATGTAAATAAGAATTAAAATGATTAAAATGAATAATTGATAATTTGAAATAGGAAGAAAAGGTCCAAAGGTGTAGGGGAGGTGGGACGGGAAGGGGAAAGGAAAGAAGGGAAAGGAAGAATTATGAGAAAAGAAAAAAATGGAAACAAAGTCTATGTAAATAAGGAAGGGTGGAGGGGTGAAGCGTGCACAGTTAATGGGGAAAAAAATAACCAAGATACATCATGTACAGTTACAAGCACCCAATGATAAATGTAAATGTATTGTATACCTAAAATGTACCAATAAAAGAATTTAATCCAAAAAAAAGAAAGAGTGTGACTGTTTTCACCATAAAATGATGAGTGTCTGACAAGATAGATTTAACCTGACTCAAACATTACACAGTGCATATAGATGCATCAAAATATCACACGGTACCCCATAAATATGTGTAGCTTTTATATTTTAAATGTATTTGTTTAAAAACTAAAAATGAAAGGCAACCCACTTGGGACCCCTTCCTATTTCTCAGGAGCTATTCCTAGTCCCCACTAAACCTTTCCCTGTCTTTAAAAAAAAAAGAAAAGAAAGAAAGAAAAGAAAGGAGGCATTACTACTGACTTTGTGGAAATAAGCATTATAAAAATACTAATAATTGGATGCCAACAAATGAAATGACTTAGATGAAATATACACATTTTTTAAGAAAAACATATACAACCAAACCAAAACTCACCCAAGAAGAAATTCAGACTATCAGAATAGATCTATAATAAATGAAGAAATTGAATTACAAAACCACATGCAAAGGAAAATGGTTTCACTGAACGATTCTATGAAGCACTGACAAAAATTATTATTTGTATTTCTAAATTCTTCTAAAAATAGAAGAGGAAAGAATTCCCTCATTTTACCCTTGATATCAAAGCCAAAGACATTACAAGAAAACTATAGGCCAATCAATATCTCTTAGGATATGGATGTACACACAGAAATGGACATGTGAAGACACAGTGAGAAGGCAACAGACTGAGCCATGAATATATCAACATCAGAAGGCAAATATATCAGCACATTACTCTTGAACTTCTAGTCCCTTGAAATGTGAAAAAATGAATTTCTGTAGTTAAATGGAATTTAACAGTCCAGAGCCAAACCCAAACCCATATATCTGTGTTCAGTTTATTTTCAACAAGAGTGCCAAGATCATTTGCTATGGTCCTTCAAGGTTTCATGTGTTGAAATTTAATCCCCACTGTGAGTTATTGAGATAGAGAAAACTCATCTGATGAGCCTTGAAAACTTTACTAGCTGAAGGACTCCAGCTACAAAAGACAAGATCTTATATGGTTTTATTCATATGCAAAGTTAGAATAAGGAATCTATACAGAAAGTAGATTGGTGGTTCCTCAGAATGGAGGTGGAGGGTGTGGAGAGCTGGGAAAATTGTAGAAGGACATAACCACTGAAAGATACAGGGTTTATTATGAATGCTGATAATGTTCTAAATGACTTTGGTGATGACTGCATATCTGTGAATGTATCAAAAACCATTGAGTTGTACAACTTAAGTGGTAAACTGTATTTCAATAAAGTTGTTTTAAAAAATCAGGAAAATTCTTTACTAGTGTGGGAAGCTGGGACCAGCACAAAAATATATTTGGCTTGAAGAAAGAGATGACCTACAGTTTGTGTAATACTCACGTGACTAAAGGACAGTAGGAAAATTCCTGGGGAAAACTCTACAGACACTTCTAAAGCTCCAGAGGTGTGGAAGTGGCATGTGATGTGCCATGCTGGGATTCACAGGTCACTCCTGGCCCTTCTGGCTCTACTTGTGAGAGTAACCAATGTGATTGAGTTTATGCTGGCCACTGACTTGCAGACAGAGGATAGCAGTTCTCTCCAACCTATGCTAACTCTTGGATACCCAGCTGGATGTGGAGAAAACATTCTAAAAAAAAGGCACAGCTTTCTGCTGGGACTGCTTACAGCAGTTTTTCCCCCACTTTGGTGCTGGGGATTGAATCCAGGACCTTGTACATTCTAGGCAGTCTACTGCTGAACTATACCCCACCCCCTCTCTCCAAGTTTATAGTAGACTGAACTCATGGTATACACTGCAAGAAAACTCATCTTTTCTGTTTTGGCTTTATCTGTGTTGGAAGGATTCAAATAGGAATATGGAACAACCTCCAAAAAATCTTTTTCCAGTGCTACTGAACAATAAGCCAAAACAATAAGCTAAGAATTCCCCTACTCTGGATACCAAGAACTCTTTCTAAAAATCAAAGATTGATATACTTGTTTATCTCTTTCATCTACACACTACTTTTGCCAGACAATGACACATAACCACCACAAATACTCCTGTCCTCCTTGCCAGGGCACCAAGTATATAATGCAAGAGAGAGGCAAGCAGCTCACCAGTGTCAGGTATGTGCTTCGGCCAGCCTGTGTGATTCAGTCCTGCAGGGGCACTCTGGGACAGTGCTTGGCTTCTTCTAGGGAGATGTAGAGGTTCTGGGGAGGCAACAGTCATCTTCCTCCAGCACTGAGGGAGGAGGAAAGAGGCAGAGAGGGAAGATGAAGAAAACATGACAGGCTGTCCTGGCCACCTTTTAATTTCTCTAATTCCCCAGGACATTTCCTATGAGCAGAGCACACAGCCAAAATATACACAGCTCCAGGAGGTACTGTTCACACTAGAACTCTTGAGAGAAGATTCTCTTGGAGTCTGCAGTGTGCAGTGTGTATGGTCAGATGTGCAACCCTGGTAGATAGGCTGCAGTTTAGTAATGTGAAACAAAGACCATTGAGGTTTCAGACACCCAAGTATTCCCTAGCTGGTCAGCCATACAGCCCGATATTTTCCTAAAAGCAAGTCAGTTTGTTTTAGCTCAGACATATTATTTATGGGATACTTAATTAAAATACAACTTACAAAGGCTTTTGTACCTCATAGTTATGAAATGGACACTACTCTTCAGAGAGTTAGGATGACTAGTATTGCACAGGGTCTTGGGAAAAGAAGGGATATTGTTCTTTCCTTTATCCTCATTGCTCAAAGATTGGCCTCTTCCATTTCTTTTTCTGCTTTATAAGATTACTGTGTTGAGGGCCAGGGATTTAGCTCAGTGGTTTCGCTGCCTGCTGTGCAATCGCAAGGACCCAAGTTCGATCCCCAGTACCAAAAAAAAAAAAAAAAAAAGATTACTGTGTTGATTTAAAAATCATGGTACATATTCAAACAAATGCTTGTTCCTTTCTTTTTACTTTTACATTCATACTATTAAGCAAACAGTGGTTAGAAAATTCTTTTAGTAATTTCTGGAAACATAAATATATAAAGAAAGCTTGTGATGGACTAGTGTACACTACACCATATCTTCCATTTGAATGCAACTGAAAACCTTGGACAAATAGACTGGCTATCTGAGGACTCTGAAAGTAAACGGTAGCAGGTGGACTGGTAGGGAAACCATATTTGGAGGTTACCTTGATTCTGTAGTATCTCCCGTTTTGTTGTTGCTGTGGTATCCCCTGCCTGAACACAGCAGCTTGAAACTGGTCATGGACAAAACAGCCTCCTAAAGAAGCCCTTTCTGCTCTGAAGAGGGAAAGGGATCCCCATGGGTATAGAGGGATAGAGGAAATCCTGGGTATTTTGATGCTACTTTCTCCCATCCCAGCCCTCAGGCAATGGTGGCCAGACAGGTACTCAAAACCCCACAGTTCAGTCCTCAAAGACATCAGTCTACTATTGACACTCAGATCCACTTGTACACAGTTTAGATGTGACAAGTCCCAGACTGTCGACGAGGATCCATATTATCCAAATGTCACCACAGGCATCTAGAAACCAGAACTGATCTATGAAACAGTCTCACAAGGCCAGCAAGAACTTGTAGCCTGAACTGAACTGGGTTAGTTGGCTGAAAAACTTGATAATTACTCTCCATAGGAACTAAAGGCTTAAAATCTCCTAACATGATATTCAGAATGTCCAAGATACAATCATAGTTTCTCTTTAACTTCCAAATAACCCTAACAATAGAAAGATATTACATCCCATTTTACAGGTGAGCAAACTGAGGTTCAGAGGGATTAAGCAATCTAATTGCCCTAATTGTCCATATTCTCTGGGCAAAGCTTTTTCAGAGTAAGTGATTGTATGTGTGTTTGTACCACTTTATTTTTTACACATTCCTCTCAGCTGTGCTAATTTCCTCCCACCCATATCACACCAACACTGCTTTGACAAAACTCAGTAAGTTCATGCTGTTCATGCCAGTGGGTCACCTTTAGTGCTTCCTGCTAGATTTGACATTGCTGACTATCCTACCATTCTTGCTTGACTTTTTTGTCTTCTATTCTGATTTTCCTCCTTTTAAATGATTCTTCTTGAAGTTCTACACCCTGCTTCCTTTTCTACTTATTCATAGGTTTTCCAGAATTCTTTAATCTCCATCTTCAGCCCTGAACTTCCCCCTTATCTTCAAATCATATCCCATAAGTCCTTACTGGACACATACATTTGAATGAGCCATAGGCTCCTCTTAATCAACAGATACAAAAGTGAATCTACCGTTCCACCCCTTATCCCACCTCTCAAGTGCAGTAGGCTGGTGTTCCCTCAAAAATTCACATGCTGAAACCCCAATCCCAGTGTGATGATATGTGGAGGTCAGGCTGCTGGGAAGTAACTAAGTCACCAGGCTGGAGCATAATAAATGTGACTGAGGGCCCTTATGAGAAGAGACTCCACAGAGATAGCTAGTTTTATTGCCACATGAGGATAAAATGAGAATTTAGGCCTCACAGGAACCCAACCATATACTGGCACCCTGATTTTGGACTTAGCCTCCAGAATTGTGAGGAAAAAATATCTGTTGAAAAGCCAACCTTTCTATGGCACCATGGTACAGCAATCCAAAAGGACTAAGAAGTCAGACTCCCTGCCTTGTATTAGGGAATGATAAACCTATTTCATCCACCAGGTTGAAATTCAAGCTGGAGTCCAAGGAAACAGTAGACTCTTCCCTTTCTATCAATCACAACAACCAGTAATCACCAAATCCAACATATAGCTCTTAAACATGTCTCCACCCTTTTCCAAAAGGGACTATAAACCATGTGGTGGTTAAAACTAGGAGGCTCTTTGACCTGGCTCTGTCCCTCTTTCATCTCACCTCCCACCACTTTCTGCCTCAGAGCTTACACAGGAGTGAAGCCACCCTCAATGGTACCCCCATATCCTGTGCCTCTGCACAAAAGATGCTTTCTCTGCCCTGTATTTTCATATTCCTAACTTTTTTTCACGATTAACCTGCACATTTCTTAGGATCAGCTCAGGGCCACCCAGCTGTCAAAGCAGGGGCACCCCCACCCCACCAGACTGTAGTGCTTTTGTTTCTACTTCCTTACCACTCTGAGCAATGCCTAGCATGGAAGTGCTCAGTGAGTGACTTTTCACTAAATGTATGTTTAATAAATACTTTAATCCAGATATTTTCAACTCCTGGCTTGTAGTTCTTTCAGGAAGATAAAGTTAGAGGCTTGATAATCTGGTGGTATAGAAGTAGGCCAGTCTAAAACCTCAGTGATTCTATCAATTCATCCTATGTGTGGTTGGGACAAATGCAGGGGTAGGACTACAAACCACAGGAAAACAGTTTTTGTTAAAAAGATAAATGAACACAACTGAATGTGACTACTTTATGTCTACCTACAGAAAGTCCCAGATTCAAGACAGTTCAACTTAGGATTTTCCACTTTATGATGTTGCAAAAGCTATATGCACTCAGTAGAAACTGTACTTGAATTTTGAATCTGGATCATTCCTTGGGTGAGTGACATGCAGTACTGTAATCTCTGGTGAGGCTAAACAGTCAGCCTTGTGATCTCGAGGTAATAACTGACATTCTCTATGTCCTGAATGGCAGATCCACGGTGGCGATCAGTTAGGTGTACTAAATACACATTTGTCTTATGTTGGCTGTATCAGGATGTGACCCCTTATAGGCTGAGGAGCACCTATGCTCTCAGGCTTCCCTGCACATCACCTTGGTACATGTAGTTTTCAACCTAGTTCTTGTTATTTGTGCTAGCTATGTTGTTTAATGCCTTCACAACCACTGAATTAGCAAGATCTGAACTATAAATTCTAAGGAAAATAGGTTTCTGTGAACCTCTGTTTACAATGTGTGGGAAGACTATGCTGAGAATTTAACCCAGGGCTTTGTGAATGCTAAGCATGAGCTCTACCAGTGAGCTATAGCTCAGCTGTGGTGACAACATTTTTGTCAGCTAAAACAGTGTCTGCAATATCAAGGTTCATGTGCCGCCAACATCCTTGTAAAATGAGCCAGTCTCATCAACACTGAGGACTTGATGTCAGGTAGCCTTTGTCCTGTATAACACCAGGTATTAAAAATAGTTTAAAGTTTTTACTATATTCTCAGGTTTAACTTTTCTTTTAATCACAGAATGAGTCAGTTAACTGGAGATGTTATGGTAAAAAGAAAAAAACCCTACATTTGGAATCTGAGAATCATATATTTGGTTTCTTTTCCTACTTAAATTTTGCTTTGTACTTAAAAAAAACATAAGTTATATATTGACCAATTATAGTTGTGTTTATTTATGGGGTACAGTTTTTTTTAATGGGATGTAAAATGATTAAGTTAAGCTAATTAATGTCACCTCAAATATTTGACATTTTTGTCATAACATTTGAGATTTACTGTACTTTCTTAGTAACAATGAAATGTATACTACTGTGCAGTAATTCACTGTACTGTGCAACAGAGCTAAAAGAAGTGAGATGTTCTTTACATCTCACAGAGGTTTGGTACCCCCTGATTACCATCTTTCTACTCTTCCAGCCCCCACCTGTCTAGTAACCACCATTCCACTCTGCTTCTAAGAGTTTGATTGCTTTAGATTTTATGTGTAAGTAAAAACAGGTAGTGTTTTTCTGTTTGATTTATTTACCTAGCATAATGTTCTTCAATTCCATCCATGCTGTTGCAAATGACAAACATGTTTTCCATCTTAAATGACTAAATAGTATTCCATTGTGTATATATACCACATTTTCTTTTTCTCTCCATATGTTGTTAGATAGTCTGATTCCACTTGTTGGCTACTGTGAATAGTGCTACAGGGAACATGGGACTGTAGATGGCTATGTTCTGATTTCAAATCTCTTGACTAAATATTCAGAAGTGGGATTGCTGGATGATGTAGTAGTTCTATTTTCAGGTTTTGCGGGCCCTCCATACTCTTTACCATAACGGCTGTACTAATTTACATTCCCACCAACAGTGTGCAAGGGTTTCTTTCAGAACAAAATAAAATGGAAAACAGATACTGGCAAGGAGAATGTGAAGAACTTATAAACTTCATACACTGCTAGTAAGGCAAAATGGAAAACTATCTGGCAGTTCCTCTAAAGTTAATCACAGAATTACCATATAGCCCCATAATTCTATTTCTAGGACATACCAAAAAGTACTGAAAACATGTATTCAAACAGAATTTTCACAGTAGTCCTGGAAGGAATAGTAATAATAGCCAAAAGTTGCAAACAATCCAAGTGGATGAATAAATTAACAAAATTAAACAAGTGTATCTAAGTAATGGAATATTATTCAGCATAAAAGGGAATTAATTACTTGATATATGTGAAGACGTGGATGAACTTCAAAAATATTATGCTAAGTGAAAGAAGCTGACACAAAAGAGCACACACTGTATAATTCCATTTCCATGAAATACTCAGAATGCATAAAGCCATAGGGACAGAAAGCAGATTAGTGCTTTCCAGGGCCTGGGGAGGGAAAATGGATAGATTGCGTGATGGGTGTGGGGCTCCCTTTTGGGAAAATGAAAGTGTCTTGGAACTGGATAAAGGTGATGCTTGCACAATATGGTATATGTACAAATATCATTGAATAGCTCACTTTAATGTGGCTAATTTTTGTGTGAATTTTACCTCAATAAAAAGTCGAGATTGAGGGGTGAGGTGAGACTCAGAGATGTGGACTTCACAAATATGTGATAATGAAAAATATTGGTATTTTATAAAGGTGAAGAACAAGAAAATAAGAAACAGAGCCAAAGACCAAGTAAAAGGTGTGATGTAAACACCATGACCTCATTTTTAGTAGGCTTTCAGTTTTGTGTAATATATCAAGTATCACAGTATCCCTGTAGACAAAATTCAGTGGACTGAATGTAACTATATTTCAATGTAATTGTATAATTCATTTTTATATAAAAATGTGACACATCATTTTGAGTACCTGAGCTAATGCTAGTGCAGGTCCAGCATGTGTGACACACAGAAGCTCTGACTAAATGGTAGTTACTATGGTGAGTCCTTGAGGGCAAGAGGACCTTTTTCCTTTCTGCCTGAGCAACCTGCAGAGGGCTGGCCATAAGCAAGACAGGCCACAGAGTAGGAAGAGGGAGTTTTGGTCTTGATGGCTTTTGCCATTATGAAGTATCTGTCTCACCGTGCTATAGTTTGGATCTGGAATGTTCCCCCCAAAGCCCTCACACTAGTGCTGTTAGAAAATGTAAATCCTGTAAAGGTGAGCCCTGGTGGAAGGGTTTAGGTTATTGGAGACATGCCCTGGAAGACGACTGTGGGACCCGGTCTCTTTCTCTTCCTAGCTGCCATAAGGTAAATGGGCCTCTTCTGCCACATATACCTGCCTTGATGTATTTTGCCATCATAGGTCCAAAGCAGTGAGGCCAGTTGGTCATGGGATGAAACCTCCAAAACCATGAGCCAAAATACACTTTGGCTTTTTCTGAGTTGTTTGTTGTTTACCTCCAGTATTTGTCACAGTGTTGGAAAGCTGGCTAACACACACAGGCTCACATTGGGTGGGGCTGCATCAGTGCGCTGTGATCCAGGAACAAAGAGTGACAAGTTCCAGTTCAGGATAGAGCCAGGAAATGGCAGGTTGCTACAGAGGAGGAAGAGATACCAGGGCCATTGGGGGGTGCTTGGCCTATGACACTTTACCTGTACTCCATCCCTGTGTGCTATCTCCACATGCATCTTCTTCCGGATCTGCACCTGTTTCCCTGGCTTCTTCCTTTGCATCTTCTCCAGCCACAGGTCATCCAAACTGACATGTGAGTGCTGAGAGAGCCTCCTGGGCTTCACAGTGGCCTCCCTGGGGGCATCCTCTGCAGAGGTGGAGGGGAAGGTCCATGTTACCATCTCAGGGGTGGAGAGTGGCTTCTGAGCTGGCTCTGTGTGAAAATGGGAGCAACTGGGCTTCTCACCTGGTGGTTCTTCCCAGGGCACATGATTCTGAAGTGCAGAAGAAAATGTGTGAGATCAGAACAAGGGCATATCAGTGGGAAACGCTGTGCTTTGCCCAATTTATATTAGATACAGCACTGTTTTATTAATTCACAAAGTACAAATCTAAACCAATACTTCATTTCCATTAATTTTGGAAAATGTGAAGATTAGGAACAAAAAAATCTTGTTTTTGTTAAAATGCCTACTTTCAATGCTTTTAAATGTCTTCTACTTTGACCAAAGCCTTACGTTGTGAAAGTATTACTGAATTTAGCATGCTCATTAAAATATTTTTAACCACTTACCAGTCCAATTATTTAAATACAGGATAACCAAAAATTGCATATTTTGTTAATTTTTATAAAATAATTTAACAGGAAATATAAAAATGACAACTTTATCAAATTTACTTAATACAAGAATCTACTGGTTGAAATGACACCTGCCCAAGTGATGTTTGAGAGAGTCAGTATGTAAACAAACGTGCTGCCCTAGTGATGCTCGGAGTAAACTGTTAAGTGGTTCATTGTGGCCAAAGCTCTTGCTTAAGTAGCATTGCTTCAGAACAGAATTTAAGCAGCAGCACACTTCAGGCACTTATTACTTAGTCTTCATTTGACAGTGGTGTTGACCAAAGTGTACATGTAGCCGCCTTGCCAAGTGCAAACACTTTCAGTTTGTGGTTATGCTTTCAGGGACCTTATCCACTTCAAAATAAAATTTGTTCAGGCTAGCAGAATACTCAGGCTTTGTGTTGACATCTCCACCTTTTCTGTTCCCATGGCCACTAGGAGAAGAAACCCTTTTCTTCCCATGTGTTTCTCAAGGCTAAGCACCCTTCCCCAGTAAACGCATCCTTCACAGCAATAGCATCCAAAGTGCTGTCTGAGATCTTAGTGTGTACTAGCTGGTGTGAACTGAGGTGTGATTTCTTATCAACACTTGTGGAGTCTTTCTAAAAAAGGACAGATAAAGATACATATATGTTTATGTGGAAAGAAAGCAAGAAAGGAGGAAGATGGAGAGGAGGAAAACTAAGAGGAGATGGATGGATGGATGAATAATTGTTACAGTGGTTTTTGGATACATCTGGGGGATTGGGACCTTTCCCAAGCTCTCTTGACAACTAAAATATGCAGCCAAGGCTGAAAACCACTGATCTGATGTTTTTGTTTAGCTTCCAAATATTACTCTACATTTTAAAAGGACTTTCTCCTAGTTTTCTCTCCCTAACTCCCCTGTGGGCTACAAATAGCTGGTAATAGAAACTCAAGAGAGCTAGGTGACTTGCCTGAGGGCATGCAGCTCCAGGGGTCACTAGTCTTCTGACTCTAGAGTCTATATACATTTACCAGTCTACCTGATACCCATTCCTGATGTTTTATAGGTGGATCCACATTCCCATAACTAGACAGGGACCAGAACTCAGATCCTTTTATAATTCCCAAGTCCCCCAGTGGGAATGAATATTAATTGGGCATATCTTTATGCATGGCTCCCTATTAGGCATTTAAGTACACTTGATAACAAACTTGGGTCCTCCTAAGACCTTGAGAGTAAGAGACATAAAGCTACCTGAAAAGGCCAGTTACTTCCATGCTGAGGCAGTCACAGAGTTTGGTTCACCATCACCAGAGGTGAGCTTGCTTCTTTTCAAACTAGAGGAAAACTTCATACTTGGACTTTCCCAATGTACTGTCCTCTAACTTCTGCCAGCCACACCTGAGTTTTCGACAGAGTTCCTCACCTTCTGTTTTAGCCCTTTAGAACCTGAGCACTTTCACACCTTAGTTTATGGGCCTTCAGAGAGAATTCTGTCTGAGATGTGGTATCCTGGCTGTAAAACTTTGCCTTTTTTCCCCCCAGAAACTTAATGGAAAAGAGTTAATTCTTCTTCTACCCCTTTTCCCATCCTGATAGGCTTTGATGGCCACCAAATTGCTTTGATGGAGGGAGCACCTTTGTTCTGAGGCTATTAATTACAGCAGTGGCTTTTGAAGTGTGGCCCCTAGACAAGGAGGATCACTCAGTGTGCGGACAACCCTTAAGATGCCCCAACAGTTTCACTTCCTGAAAGGCAGGCCCTTGTCTGAGCCCTCCTCCAAAGTGTGGAGTGCATTTAATGACTTCATTCTAATAATTAAAATACAGTGAAATTAATGGGATGTCACTTCCAAGATTAGGTTCCAGGAAGGTGGTAGTAGCCATTTGAGTGGCCTCTAGTGGGCCTCTTACTCTGGAGGAAGTCTGCTGACATACTGTGTGCACTGTTATGGAGAGGTCACATGGTGAGGAGCTGATGTTTCCAGCCAACAACCACCACAGGTGTGCGCTCAGAAGGAGGACTTGCCCCAGTCAAGCCTTGACAGGACGGCAGCCTCATCAAAGCCCTGGGTTTACAGGCACCAGGAAGGAGAATCCCAGTGAGCAGCAGCAGGTGAGATCTACTCCAGGGAACCAGTTAGAAATGCAGAATGCAAGCTCGGCCTAGACCTGCTGTAATCTATTTAAAATGCCCCCAAGGAGTTCCAGTGCACAGTGCTGGAGAGACAAGCAGATGAGTGAGGTGAGACCACCCCCCACCAGGCTCTGGTGGTGCTTGTGTATCCTGGTCAGGAAGGGGCCAGGAGCAGACTTTTGGGTGGGACAAGTTCAATGGAAGGAGTTGTCAGTAGTTAAGTACCTTCTGCTCATTTCTGTATTCTCAAAAGGGTAAAATTAAGAAATGATGGGACATTAGCACAGGATAAATTTCAACAAAGTCTGAAAAAAGTACGTGGATACAAGAGAGGTCAGTGCTGTTGTAGAACACAGGAAATAATAAAAGGAACACAGAGAGCCATGGAGGACAGACAAATCCTGAGGCGCAGAGGCTCTCGATCATCTCTGTGGGAAGTCAGCCCTCAGTTAATGCCCCTCATCCAGTCAGCACTGTGCATGCCCCTCTGCACATTTCCCCTCTGCCACTCCTCAGCTGCTAGCTGAAATCAAATAGCAGAGACAATCTTGCATGACTGAACAGGAGGGTCCAGATTCTGGACAGGACAGAGTTACTGACGAAAGCACTGCAGAGGTTTTAGGTGAAAATAGGAATAATGAGAAAATCTGCACAGTCATCTCTGAGCCACTCAGCACTGTGCTTCACTCCCAGAATAAACCTAAACCTCCTAAGTGAGCAACTAGAGGATGCCAGTCTGGAGAAACTGACCCCCAAAGTGGAAAATAAGCAACTTCTCAATTACTGTATAATGAACCTCATTAGTTGATTAGCTCTAAACATGCTCACTGAACATCAAAATATATATCAGTTGCTTTATTCTTACTATGAAATTCATCCCCAAACTTCCGTTTATTAAATACCTTCAACATACTAGAAAGACCAAGATAAATAAGAAAAGAAAAAAAATGACCGAGAATGTAAAAGATAGAAAATATTAAAAAACTTCAAAGGAATAACTTCAAAAAGAAAACACTGCAACCACTAAACAGAAGCAGGATGCTATGAAAAAACTACTCATGAAAGAGGACTTTCACTTTCAGTTCTGGACATGATGGTGTAGATGAACTTGTGTGTGTGTGCATGTGTGTGTGCACGCATGGACGCATGCAGTGCTGAAGACTGAAGCCAGGGCTTTAGGCACGCTAAGCAAATGCTGCATCATTAAGCTCTATCCCAGCCCATATAGTTATATTTTAAAGTGACATAACATAGGTTAGTGATGGACAGTAGTTAGGGAGCAGAGGGAGGGTATGACTGTAAGAGAGTTTAGCATTAGGGTGATAGAACTGTCTGTGTCTTGCTTATGATGGCCTTTCATGAATGTGTACATGGGATAAATTGAAATTCTCTACAGTTTGGACATTAGAACATACCTAATTTAAAAATCGCAAATCCCAAACTTCAAAATCTGAAGGCCAGGGCAGCCACAGGCTCAAAAGTGGAAGGCCTGCACACCATGTGCTGACAAACAGTGTCCCATTAACATTTGCATGAACAAATCCTTCACTCCATCACTCTAGAATCAAGAGAGCTAGCTCACCAGATCCTGCTTGTCTCTACACTAGTAGAGAATCTTTTAAGTGTTTATTTAAAAGGAACAGACAACCAACATAACTAATTATGAAGCCACTAATCCTTCTTTTTTTTTTTTTTTTTTGTACTAGGGATCGAACTCGGGTCCTTGCGCTTGCACAGCAGGCGGTGAAACCACTGGGCTAAATCCCCAGCCCACCAATAATCCTTCTTACTCTAGGTTTTTTTTTTCTATAACACCTGATTGGCTGGGTAGAGCTTTAACCAAAATAACTAAAAGACTTTGGTGAAGTTTACCAACCCAAGTCACACTCCCTACAGCGTTAAGAAACTTCTTTAATATGCCCCTTATCTGATTTCTCACCACCCAGGGGAACAAGCATTAAGTATCTTATTAAACTAACTCATTAGGCCTTTCCCTGAGAAGCCATCTACATTGTCTCAGGTAGTGTCTAATACTAGATTAATCTTTGATAAAATTTTACCATTAGAGCTGACACTGCTGACAATGCTAATAAAAATCTATTTGGGGTTTAAGTGTATTATATTGTGTGTACAAAAATCATATAAATAGGCCCCCAAATTAGCAATTGGGCCTGTGCCTCCAATTACTGTTCTCTTAAAAAGGAGAAAAAGTCACATATCTCACTGGGTCAAAATCTTTCATTCCAAAAATTGCCAGGCTTTGGTCCCATGTAGCAAGAAGCAGCTGGACAGATCAGAGTGGTCCTGCCTCCCTCTATAAAAATGGAAGAGGAGAGTGTAACTCATCTGCCTTCTAAAATATTTGCTCCCAACAGATCCTCCTCCTTTCTCCAAACTTCTTTTTTTCCTGCTCCCCTAACAACCATTCTTTTCTGTGTTGTGATTTCTAAAGGGAAGCTGCTGTAAACAAGCCCCTCCCGGGTCGGGGATTTAGCTCAGTTGTTCTACCAACTGCCTTGCAACCACAAGGTCCCAAGTTCGATCCCTG